GTGCTCTACCCCTTGAACCACACCCTGAGTCCTTGTTGCTTTAGTTATTCTTCAGGTAGGGTGTTACATTTTTATCCGTGTCTAGCCTCCCCATAGCTAGAATTACAGATGCACATCAACAGTGTTGGCTTGTTAGAGGACATAAAATCTTGCTAACTTTTTGCCTGGACTGGCCTTGAACTTTCATCTTCCCAGTCTCTGCTCCTAAGTAGCTGGTATTACAGGAGTAAGCCACCATGTTTAACTCCTTTAGAAAAATCTTAAAAGTAGATTCATAATGTTTTATCATGCTCATTTATTGAGCAAACATTTTTTCATGCCAACTACATCCAAAGTTACTAATATGATAATAATATAAAAATGAATCTCTTTAAAGTATCCCTCTAAAAAGATACCTAATCTTTCTGTTGTAATAAGCAGCAATGTTGAACATAGACTTTTAGAATGGCCCGGCTCTGGGAGGAGGGGAGATAAAAGACAATGATGGAGGGGTGAATTCAAGCATGCTATATTTGATATATTGTAAGAACTTTTGTAAATGACACAATGTATCCCCAGCATAACAATAAAAAAGAAAGGTAGGACTCAGTAACCATAATTTTAAAAGTTATTACTTTATGAATATTGCTGTCTAATTCTGGAACACCATAAAGTAGATTAAATACATAGGAGCATACATAATTGCTCATTTATTTATTCATTTCACAAAAATTTGTAACAGGATTACCCTGAGCCTGGTATTACCTCAGGAGTTATGACACAGGAGCGAGAATATTCCTTTGTTGATCAAATTTGTGTTTAAAGGGGACAATACACAAAATTAAGGTTATAATGATTTTCTAGTAAAGCAAAGGAATTTTAATTTTAAGCAGAGAAGTCAGGTAAGGCCACAGTAAGGTGCACTTGTGAAGTAAGGAATGGGCTATGCAAGTGACTGGGAGAAGTGTGTTGAGTTTGTCACAAAGGGAGAAAAAACATTTATTTTACATAATTCCACAATATGTGGGGATATGTACTTTCTGAATCCCCTTATGACAATGTAACAAGAATTACAAAGAATGACATTAGTTATTGTACAAAGGAAAATAGAAGTGGGGGCTGGAGGACTGACTCAAACAGTAAGAGAGCCTGCCTAGCAAGCATGAGACCCAAATTTCCTACCCCAGTGCTGCCAAGAAACAAAACAACAAGGATAAAAAAGTTTGTCTACTCGTATCTATGTTTAATTCAAAGCTGTACTTATGCCCCTAACTTGATTCCTTTGTATGATAAGAAAATACAAAATGACATTTGTGGAGTGCATTTGAGGTACAGATAGATAATTTCAAATGTTCTGAAATAATCTGAAATTGTAAAACCAGGAGATTTATAAATGTTATTTACAATCTTTAAGTGTTTTTGAAGTCTTTCAAGGAAACAACAATAATAAAATACTTCTGCCAAATTTGCATGCCTCATAACAAATAAATGCAAGAACTGCTCTGGGTTATTGTCATTTTTTATGTAAATGTGTTTTCTTAAATATTTATTGGCTAAATAATCATGTGTACAGCCTGAAAGACACATGTATGTGGAATGTGCATGGTCCTGAAGTATCAGGACACAGACAGGGATAGTGAGCTGCTGACTTCAAGTCCTAGAAAAGTGAGTTATTTAAAACAAAATAACATATGTAGGATATTCTATTTCTTGATTAGTTTTTTAAATTGATCATTTATGACCATTTGTAAATGCTGATTTGATTAAACACTTGTAACAATATTGCCAATGACAAAAAAATGTATTCTTTATATCATTCAATACCTAATCCATGATTAAATTTCTGCAGTTATTTCAAAGGTATCATTTTCCAGTTAGTTTGAATCAAGTGTCAAACAAAGCCAGGCATGGTGACTCATCTTTGCAACCCCAGCTTATTTTGGAGCCAGAAATTGGGAAGATTCTAAACTCCCTCCTTCCATGAATTGTTAGGTGACTCTGAAATGCAATTCATTAAAAAAAAAAAAGAAAACAAAGAAAACAAAGCAAAAGGACTCATGTCCCTAATCCTAGCTACTCAGACAGAAGATCAGGAGGATCAAGGTTCAAAGCCAGCCTGGGCAAATAGTTTATGAGATTTTATCTTGAAAAAACTCATCCCAGGGCTGGAGGAGTGGCTCAAATAGTAAAGTGCCTGTAACAAATATTCCATTTCCAAATAATGCCACTCTGAGGTTCTAAGTGGATGTGTGTGTTTTAGATAACACTGTTCAACTCGTAACACTTGTCTTACTTCACCTATGGTTCTCAGCTGTTTTGATTAGCACTGAAGTGAACACAGAGCAAAAGATCAAATAACTGGTTTATTATGATTAATTTAAAATTCTGACTGGGGGATTAACTAAAAAATTTGCTCTAACTACTAGAAACATTGAAATATCTTCAATTAGTAAATAGAATTCATTTATTTATATAAAGCCTCAACAGAATTGTTTTGGGTGATCAATTAACTTCCTGAAACTCTCCTTCACATCTTTGTTCTTGAGAGTATAGATCAGAAGCTTTAGCAAAAGGATGAAAATTGTATAAAATAAAGAACCTACTTTGACTATTTGGAGCTGTGAACACAGAAGAGGAACAAGACAATGCAGTAGAAAATGGTGATTGTTGTCAGGTGGGAGACACAAACCTGAAAACTTTTTAACACAAGTAGAAGGCATTTTATGACACTAGCAAAAATAAAAATATGAGCAGTGAGGATGATGACCAGGTTGTTCACATAACTGAATATGGTGATGAAAATCAAAGCACTTGACTATTGGGAGATCTGAGGAAGAACCACTGAAAATGACAGAATGCTCACAGGCCAAATTATTGATGTTGTTACACACATGAAGGATAATGCCAAGAGAAAATAAATGAATACAAAGGAATAGACTTCACCCAGGTGTAGTAACCAGCAAAGAATGATGCCCAAAGCTTTGTGGACATGATGAATATGCAGAAAAGAGAGTTATAAATTGCCACAAGTAGCTCATAGTTCATCAATACATAGTTCTGCCATTGGAAATACACAAATCAAGAGGAGCTACATGGTACATCCTCTGAAAGAGGTAATATCTTTTCTACAATCAAGCTTTCCAGCAGATTGAGTGAACTGTCATGAAATAATAAAAGTCAATAAAAGACAAGTGGCTGAAAAAAAAGCACACAGTGGTATGGAATTTGGATTGACTCTGGTGATCATGATCAGACCCGGGTTGCCCAGCCCTGCAACTGTGTAGGGACATATAATACTAATCATCAATGGTTAGATAATTATCCTAAGAGTTTCTTATGGTAGGAAGATTGGCCACTAGATATTGTCAAAGAGTGAATCCTTTGACAATATAATAATCACTTATGTGATTATCATGTTTTGGATCATGCTCTTTTGCTCCCTCCCCTCCTCAGTCCAAACTCATTAATAAACATACTTCAATAAATTTTCACTATTTTCTGCTTTACTTTCATATCATTACTTAGTTCTTTCTGATTCTCTGTTTGTCCTCTCAGGTTTGTATCTGTAGAAGATTTATCAAGCTGCAACCCTTTCTCTGGTGGATAACAGGAGCAGAGACATAACCAGCTTCCCTGTAATGCACTATGCCTATGATGTCATCCTAACTCCTCATCCTGTGCTACTTACGGAAGTCGATGGCTTCAAAACTTCAATTGCTCTCCCTTACTAAATTTATGAAATGCAAATATAAATCCTATTCCCAGGATTCAATTTTTTTAATTATATAAATATTCTCAGCTTTCCCTTTGTTTACTTGATCTCCTTTATCTTTACTTGAATAGTTTCTTTTTTCTCATTAATTGAAGCATTTGTACCATATAAGGAATTAGATGAAAATGGTTATCATCAAGGAATGGTCCTTTTTTATAGAGGAATACCTTCTGTATTCTTGGTCTACCCACAGGCATTATTATCAGGACATTAAAATGTTATGATATGCTGTTTATTGTCACTTATGAATACCACTCTTTCCTTTAGAATTTAGTAAACATATCACAAGTTATGATAAACTTCATAATCTCCCAGGAATATACTTCAAGTATCCATAAAATTTCAAGGGAGAAAAATAAGAGAGGCTATCAAACCTGGGGAAGTGTGGAAGTTTATTCTAATTTCTACGATGAAAATTAAAGGCTTATGTATGCTCCTATGACCTTGGGGACTTAGACTCTAGGTAATCCTCTTGCTAAAACTCAGAAATGAGATTAAATGCCTTCTTCTATGGCATTTTTCAAAAATGTAAATTCTCATACATTATGGAGCCAATGCTTCATCAAACATATCAATTTATCTTAGAAATTTTACCTGTAGCAAATATACAAATGGACTTAGAAAAAATTGTGGTCAGAGTGAAGGTCAAGAGAAAAGATAAACAAGTGAAAAGAGAACTACCATTAGCATTCACTGTACTGTCTTTGGCTTTGTATCCTGTGTGTGTCTTGAGATGTATAAACAATACATTGTTTCATTTGTTTGTCAAATTTCTTTATTAGTAAAAAGTATTTTCGCCACTCAACACACACACAAAATAACGCATTGCTTGTTATATAAAGGACCATAAGCCAGATCATTGTTAAAGCCATCTCAGAAGGCTGGTTTTCCTGATTGCAATTTTAGGGAATCACCTGGAATCCATACATATTTGACAAGCTAGAAATTAGTGTTACTTTGGAAGCATACATATAAAATTATATTTTACATTACAAAGTACTTAAAATAAGTTACAATATGACAACAGATTGTTCAAGAGTATTTTTAAAAACTTTTTGATTTACTTATGATTTAAAGCAACTTCCCTAAAGTTGGATCCATGAAAAACCAATTATCATAAAATGGACTTCCATAGATGCATTAACTAATAGCCTTATGAATTAAATAATTTGAATCATAAGTTGAATTGTAAGAGCTTGGGAATTTGTACTATTTATTTCTCAGAAATAAAATGATATATCTAAGAGTATTATACTGAAATTGAATGACAAAGACACTTGGTGACTACTAATTTTCTGAATGTGTTCTTCACATCATTGTTCCTAAGGCTATAAATCAATGGGTTTAGCATAGGAATCACCACTGTGTAAAACACAGAAGCCACTTTAACTATGAGCCATGAAGTTTTAGTATTAGGAACACAGTAAAGGAAAAGAATGGTTCCATGGAAGATGGTGATGGCAGTCAGGTGGGAGGAACAGGTGGAGAAGGCTTTCTGACGTCCATTTGCAGAAGGTATCTTCATAACAGTGATGAAAATGAACATATGTGACGTAAGAATAAGCATAAGACTGCTCACTTCATTGAATACAGCAATAATAAAACACAGAATCTGGCTGATATAGGGGTCTGAACAAGACATGGAAACAATTACAGAAAATTCACAGACAAAATTATTTATGATGCTGGATTCACAATAGGACAGGGAAAGAAGAAAATATGTGAGTGTCAGGGAACACACTATGCCCCAGGTGTAAGATCCAACCACCAAACCAGCACAAAGCTGCTGAGACATAACAGTGTTGTAGAGCAGAGGGTTGCAAACTGCTACAAAACGGTCAAAGGCCATTGCTGCTAACATGAAAGTTTCTGTCACTCCAAAAATGCAAGCACAAGAAAATTGCATGACACAACCAAAGAAAGAGATGGTTCTGTCTTCCACAATCAAGTTCTCTAACAATTTTTGTGTAACTACAGTAGAAAAACATAAATCTACACAGGACAAGTGTCTAAGGAAAAAGTACATGATGGTGTGGAGTTTTGGATTGATCTGGATGATAAATATCATCCCCAAATTTCCCACTACAGTGACAGTATAGATGGACAAGAAAACCAAAAAGAGTGGAACCTGGAGTTCTGGATGTTCTAAAAAACCCAAGAAAATAACAGTGGGTACACTGCTTTGATTTCCTTCAGATGACATTGTGATTCCTGATGGGTATAAAAGAAAGTTATTATGAAAAACAGAATGAAAATAAAGGAAAAACTGACAAAAATTTACCATATGTTTCCATGAAGAATGACATAGAACATCATTTCTCCAAGTGTAGTACCAACCAATAAGACCTGGGAATTTCTTATATTGCCCCACCCTCAACCTTCTTAATCAAAGATGTGGGATGAGACCCACAATTTGTGATTTTACTAAGCCTCTCTTGGATTTTGTCACATGCTAAAATGTGAAGCCACCATGAAAAAATATATAATTATCAATTTTATTTAAAATTCAGCTTTAGTAGTGAAATATAAATTTATGATACTTGGTAGTTATAAGAAGAGAAATAAGGAAGGCAGACCAGAAGCACAGAGTACCTTCTACTATATGGCTTGAACAATACACTAAGGATCATAGAGATGGCTTGACATTGCCATTGGTGAAGCTAAAATATTAATTTTTATTGCATTTTTTCACCTTTCTATGCATAGTGCACAATTAATTGATCAAAGAATTTAAAAGTTTTAAAAACTCCTACAATGTATATGCTCCATGTCTTCTACCTAATTTTAAAAACTTTGCATTAGGATCTCATTTATGGGATGTTCACACATCCTCCACTCATACCTCTATCAATGTACACTGTTTCTTGGAATATTTTATTGGTCTATTATAGAAATGTTCATGTTTCATTGTTTTATTAGTTTTAAAATTGCATTTTAATTATCTGCTTATTAATGTTATTTAGGTCATCTCACTTGAAATAGATACATGACAGATATAGATGATAGGTAGATAAATAGGTAGATAGATATAGATAGATGATAGATAGTAGAGAATAGAAAAATCTTCTGATCAACAGCAATATTTCTGTACATAAAATATACTTTGTGATAATTATGTAATGAAAATGACACATTTTCTTAACCAAAAATATAACCCATGCTTTTTTGATGAGACAGAATTGGAAAAGTCATGAAAATGAAAGCTATAAGATCATGAAATATATGAGGATCTAATAGAAATACATTTTTTCCATTTTTTCAGTTTTACCTAGAAACAGGGCCAAGCTCTAAACCCAGCCCTGTGAGTCCCTGCCCTTTACATGAACTTCAAACAACTTCAGATGTAGAGCATCCATTATTAATGTATAATTTTCAACAGAAAGTAGACCTGGGTGGGCACACTTTATCCATTACTATTGACTTTGTTTCAATACATGAATTTGCCTTCAACATTTGAACTTACTGGTAAAGTCTGCTACCTGCCACACTCATTAGATCTGTCCTGCCAATGTGGCACATGTACTAGATCAGTAACAAAAAAATATTCAGAAAAAAAGTGATAGTGTTACAGTCCTATGAATATTCAATTAATTTTATAAATAGCAGTGAATTAGAATTAGTTTTATACTCAAATTAAAAATTTGTCTAGGAAAGTTCAAAATCAACAAACAGCCCATAAGTTTTCTGTGCCTTTTTTTCATTGTTACTTGGTAGTTGCACTGATGCCAGTTTCTACATTACAAAAATTTTTATTTTGAAAAAAACTTCAGGCCCTGTTAGTGAAAATCAAAATGTCCCTGACTATAAAAAGAGACTTTCTGATTTTTAGAATAATCTCTATGAACAAGACCCCATGATTTACACCTGAACTAACAATGAAAGATAAATTAACTGACCTGAAACCAGAACCTCTTGATTAATTTACTGTGAATTTCTTCTTCACATTAATAAGCCTCAGTCATTTTTATTCATTATAATCAATTTTTTTTAAATAAAATAGGACTAAGGGTTGGAACAAAAGTGGAAGTGTGTTTCAATATTTATGCCAGTTAAATGGGATTTTTTTTTCCCAGAACATAGGAAATCTCCTAAAGCACAAAGAAAAATCTGAAAGCTGTTTGAAATCCATTAAAGTCTGGGCCTTATTTATGTAACTGTCACTATGGAAATATAAACATCAGAGAATTATAATTAGAGTTTTCCTCAGTGGGCTCTACAATGTACAATTAGTTGAAACTCTCACTTGTGTTGTTTTTGAAGATGTGTTTTCTTCTGAAGCATTAGATATGGCTACATTACCACATTCGTTACATTAACTGTCTTTATATATTGAATTATTGAAATATTACGTCTTCCCTTACTGAAGAAAATATGAACATTACAGTTCAAAAACAGGAAAAAAAACAATAAAAAAAATGGCTTGTTTTAGCAGCATTTCAAATTTGACATTTAAATTTTTAGTGGAGAATTGTGGCAACCACTACATTAAGCAAAGAGAAAATCACCTGACAATTCAGATTGAGAAATATTCTTTAGGATACCTAGCCGGTATTCCCTAATATTGCCTAAGACATGGCAAACAAGAAAAGAGGGGCAAAAGTATCACACACCAAAGAAGGTTGGGCAAACATGACTACTAGATGTAATCTGTTACTCTGATTGGATCCTGAACAGAAAAAGGGTGCTAATGAGGAAGAGGAGTGGTGAAGGCAAACAAAATAACAACCAAAAAAAACCAAAGAGCATTCAAATGCAAATAAAGTCTTCACTGCTCACTGGACTGATAATAATATACTAATGTTTCTTAACTGTTTCTTTTTGAGAGAACAGTTAAGATGTGCCCATTGAAAAGATTTCTAACTAAAATATAGTGTTGACTATGTTGACTAAATGTTCAATGTTTTACAACAGATCTCTAGGGTTTATATATCTTGATTAATTGAAAATGTGTGTTCATTGATTAGTAACTGTCCATTGCCCACTTCCCTCAGTCCCTGGCAAATACCAGCCCACACATCATTTATGAAACTATTTTAGATGCATCATATTAGCACAATCATGCAATATTTGTTCTGTGAATATCTTATTTCACCTAGAATAATGTCTTTAAGTTTCACTCCTATTATTTTTCATAGTAGGATTCACTTTTTATAGCTGTGACTAGTATTATGTTGCATGTACAGATCACATTTTCTGAATGTATTCATTTGTCTATGAACATTTAGGTAATTTCTACATCTTGGCAATTGTGACCAGCACTACAATGACCATGGGAGTACAAACATTTATCTGTGTTTCTTATTTCAGTTATTTTGTACATGTACTCTCTTTGTTCTGTCAAACTACAACCCAGAATTTGTCTTTATTTTAATTTTACTGAATAGAAGATAATCCTTTTAAGGATATAGAGTAAAATTTGAAACTTTTCAATCATGAAGTTTTTTTATTTCTTTTTTTAATTTTGATGCATACATCATTTGGGCCATCTCTCCCCCCTCCCCATCCCCTCTGACTCCCCCCACCCCCTTGCTTCCATGCAGAGCCTATTCTGCCCTCTTTTCCAATTTTGTTGAAGAGAAGACATAAGTGATAACAAGAAAGACATGGCATTTTTGCTAGTTGAGATAAGGATAGCTATACAGAGAGATTCCCAGCGTTGCTTCTATGCACATGTGTATTACAAACCCAAATTGGTTTGTCTATTCCAGACCTGTTCACTACTTCCTGGTCACCTTTCCATAACGACCTCTGTCAGTTTAAGATTACTATATTATCTCCTCCACAGTGGGAACACCAAACACTTTCAAGTTTTGGGTTTCCTACCTTTCCCTGTTCCTCCTATATACCTTCTCCCCTTAGCATGTGACCCATGTTCAATAATATTACTACATTTGTTTTAGGTCTAAAGTCCACACATGAGGTAGAACTTACAATTTTTGGCCTTCTGAGCCTGGCTAATTTCACTTAAGATGATGTTCTCCAGTTCCATCCATTTCCTTGCAAATGCCAAGATTTTATTCTTCTTTATGGCTGAGTAAAATTCCATTGTGTATAAATACCACATATTCTTAACCCATTCTTTGGTAGTGGGTCATCTTGGCTGTTTCCATAGCTTGACTATTGTGAATAGTGCTCAATAAACATGGATGTGCAGGTGCCTATGGAATAACCTGAGTCACATTCATTTGGGTATCTCCCTAGAAATGGTATTGTTGAATCACATAGCAGATCTATGTTTAGATTTTTAAGAAGCCACCATATTATTTTCCAAATTGGTTATACTAGCTTACATTCCCATCAGCAGTGTATGAGGGTTCGTTTTTCCCCGCATCCTCACCAACAATTATTGCTGGTGGTGTTTTTGATGATAGCTATTCTAACAAGAGTGAGGTGGAATCTTAGTGTGATTTTGATTTGCATTTCCTTTATGGCCAAGGATGGTGAGCATTTTTTCATGTGTTTTTTTGCCATTTGGAGTTCTTCCTTTGAAAAAGTTCTGTTTAGTTCAGTCGTCCACTTCTTTATTGATTCATTGATTTTGGGGGAGTTTAGTTTTCTGAGCTCCCTCTATATTCAAGTTATAAGTCCTTTATCTGATATATAACCAGCAAATATTTTCTGCCACTCTGTGGGTGGTCTCTTCAGTTTAGAGACCATTTCTTTTTTTCTGCAAAAGCTTTTTAATTTCATGTAGTCCCATTTGTCCATCCTTTCTCTTACTTGCTGTGCTTCTGGAGTTCTAGTAGGAATTTCTTGCCTATACCTGTTGCCTCCAGAGTATTCCCTGCTCTTTCCTGTACTAACGTCAGAGTTTTGGGTCTATGTTGTCTTTAATCCACTTTGAGTTGATACTAGTACAAGGTGATAGACATAGATCTAGTTTCAATTTCTGCTGGCAGATAACCACATTTCTCAGCAACATTTATTAAAGATGCTGTCTATTCTCCATCAGATGTTTTTGGCACCTTTGTCCATTATAAGGTGGGCATAGCTGTGTGGATTCATATCTAGGTCCTCTATTCTGTTCCACTGGTCTTCATGTCTGTTTTTGTGCCAGTACCATACTGTTTTTATTGTTGTGGCTCTATAATATCATTTGACGTTGGGTATTGTGATACTTCCAGCATTGCACTTTTTGGCTATTCATGGTCTCTGTGTTTCCAAATGAACTTTAGGGTAGATTTTTCAATCTCTGTGATGAAT